TGTGGAGTTTGCATGTTCTCCCCGTGTCTGTGTGGGTTTCCTCCGGGTACTCCGGTTTCCTCCCACAGTCCAAAAACATGCAGTCAGGCTGATTGGACATGCTAAATTGCCCCTAGGTGTGAGTGAGTGTGTGATTGTGTATGTCTGTCTGTCTGCTCTGCGATGAACTGGCGACCTGTCCAGGGTGTATCCTGCCTTCCGCCCAGTGACAGCTGGGATAGGCTCCAGCACCCCACCGCAACCCAGAAGCCTTTTTAAACTCCTATACCTCGAGTTTAAAAGCTCTTGAAAATATAACAGCAGTGTTTAAATGTTCTGTTCTGTGTTCAGGAAATGAATGTATTTACATTAAAAATGTTTAAGCATTTATAAACTATGATTTTGCTCAAATCCTCTAAATAAACCCATTCATTTTGGACTCACTCGGGAGCGCCCTCTAGCGTTTGAGAAAACCGGAAGACCGAAAGTTCTCTAGCTGAGCTTCCTCTTCGGTTAAAACACTGCCTGGTAAGAGAGCTGCCTCTGAAGGCAGTGACTAGTGAGGCAGCTGCCTCCAGAATGGTACACACCTTATAGAGACCGAGCGAGAGACCAGACAAGAGTAAATCTCAGACTGGCTTTAACTCGCTGTTGAGAGATAAAAGAGATAAAAGGATGTAGGACAGACTCATGGCTGATGGGAAAACAGCAAAACTCTGACAGCACTCTGACAGAGTGTTCATCCCTTCCATTGCTATTTATGAAAGACTGCACCGTAGACTGTAACCTCATCACTGTCATCTTTGTCTCACTGAGTTTTGTATTATTTTTGCATTGACATACTCAAACCGAACAATGCTAAAATACCTGTATAAATTAACACAAAACAATGTCTACATATTTATTTTGACACATTCTCAAAAATAGAGGATCTCTTACATGCCTTATTTGTAATAAATGAGGTTCACTTTGCAGCTCACTTGATCCCAGGAGCTCAATTTTGCACAAGAATTTATAATGAAGGATAGGATAATAAGTTGCATTACAAGTGTGTTATGACCTGTCTAGGGGTTTATGATAGTCATAACATAAAAAAAGACAACAGCCTGTTGACGTTTAAACAGATCAAGTCATGTTATTTTCTTTTCTTTAGCTGAGAGAGAGTGTGAAAGAGAGAGAGAACAAAAGAGAAGCAAGCAAAACAAAACAAACAAAAAAATATGTCCTAGGGATGTAACACTAACCCCCCCCCCCAAAAGTTTTACACATGAGAAAGAGCATCGGCCATTACATTATCTGTGCCCTTCTTGTGTCTGATTTCTAATGAGTATCCTTAAGCTAGCAAAGCCCACTGCATCATCCATTTCTCTTTTAAAATCTTCAGTGGACCTCGAACAGAATGACCAAATACAAGCTGGGCTGGGCTAAACAAAGTGGACTCCTGAGCAGTTTCATGAATAGGAAATAGGACTAAAGGCACACCTTCATCCCACTCATTCCCTGACTCAGCGCTCTAAAGCTCCTTGACTCTTGGGATGGTAAGCACTGGAAACTGCTCATTTAAGTATACGACCACCACTTATTAACCAGAGGTCTCTTCTCTCTAGCAAATTCTACATAAGTCTGGTTGGTTGTTTTCCAGTGGGCTCTGTAGTTTTGTCTGTATGCTTCAGGAACAAGTTCATACGCACGTAGCACAGCAGATTTCACTACTTCATAATCTAAACTCTGTTCAGTAGGCAGAGCAGAATACACTTCCTGAGCTTTTCCTACTAATGTACACTGTAGCAGAATTGGCCGAACTCCCTGCGGCCAACGCAGTGTTGTAGCAACTCGCCCAAAAGCAACAAAATATGAATCAACTTCAGATTCACGAAAACCTCATCGGTCGCAATGAAAGAGAGCGCCGTGGTGAAGGCACTGGACGCAGTTCCCCCTGTTCCCCCCTCATTGCGCATGTCGAAATCATGACGTCTTCAGTCGCCGCTCCTCTGCGGGGCTTAGATAGGCTTAATTCGTGTGTTTCTGTACCGTTATTTCGTCCTATTCCTCGCGGTAAGCAAATTATCACGTTGTTTGTAAAATAACTTGTAGTTAAACACGTTTTAAAGTGTAAAATGTGTTGTTAGCAGATGTTCTAATGCTCAAACACTACGTAGGCTATCTTGCTAGCTTTGGCTCCATTTTCAACTACTCCGAGTAACAGAAGTTAGATTTATTGCCCCATTTCTGATTTAATTACCGTACATGCAGACACATTCTGTTGTTCAGACTTCAGTGATTTTAAGGTGTATTTATGTCCCATATCCTCATCAGTCTCACTAAGTTCTGTAAATAGATTTGAAACATTTGTTGCTGAAATAAATAAACTGCATTAAGTTACACAGCACAGTAATTAGTCTGTGTTATTATTGTTAGACTACGTATCTCAGTGCACCTAGGAAGTTGGTTACCCGGTAGACTTTGAGGCTGAAGTCTTACTGTTATGGTATTAATGTGACTTGTCTTTACAGTAACTTTTATTCATATTTTATAATCTTTAGAACTGAGAATGCAGGGGGGGCATCTTTAACCAGAGCCTGAGAAAAGTGGTTTCCCCTTGTATATTACAGCTGGAGTGGATTTAAAGCACAGCAGTGATGCTGATAATCTATATCTGTGCAAGATCATTTCACTTAGTAGCTTTTATTCATATTATACAAACTTTACACAACAACACAATTATTATAGTACTTTTATAACCTGTTGTAATATAAGGAAATCATAGGATTATCATAGTACCCTTATACCCCTTTGTAGTGTAGGGAAAGGAAACCATTTACCAGGAACACTGATCAAATCCCAGTTGTTTACTTCCATTAAACATGGTAACATAGTAACAGATAACATAGCTGTAGCAAGAAATATTACAGTGTAGTATACCTGCATGTAGTAATCATTCAATTTGAGAAAAATGGGAAAACCTATAATGTATCTTTTTTTTTCATTTAATTAACTACAGTTTAAAATTTTTGACCCACTGTAGTTCCTGGGAGGACAGCAAAAGCAAAGAAAGCATTATAGTATATTAAACTGATCCTAATTGCCAGGTTTTACTGGAAGTTACTTTTTTAGGGAATCTGTTCTACCGTTTAGTCTCTGTATAAAACGTTAATGGAAGAAGTAAAATAAAAATAAAAACAAATTAATATAATAGTGCATTAAATCTTTAATAGCTGTAATCGACTAGTACACTGAGAATGCTGTTCCATCTGTATTCTCAGTGTAAAGGTGGTATAATATGAATAAAAACTACTAAGTGAAATGATCATGCACAGATATAGATTATCAGCATCACTGTTGTACTGTAAATCCACTCCAGCTGTAATATACAAGGGGAAACCACTTTTCTCAGGCTCTGGTTAAAGATGTTCCCCCTGTATTCTCAGTTCTAAAGATTATAAAATATGAATAAAAGTTACTGTAAAGACAAGTCACATTAGTACCATAACAGTAAGACTTCAGCCTCAAAGTCTACCGGGTAACCAACTTCCTAGGTGCACTGAGATACGTAGTCTAACAATAATAACACAGACTAATTACTGTGCTGTGTAACTTAATGCAGTTTATTTATTTCAGCAACAAATGTTTCAAATCTATTTACAGAACTTAGTGAGACTGATGAGGATATGGGACATAAATACACCTTAAAATCACTGAAGTCTGAACAACAGAATGTGTCTGCATGTACGGTAATTAAATCAGAAATGGGGCAATAAATCTAACTTCTGTTACTCGGAGTAGTTGAAAATGGAGCCAAAGCTAGCATTAGCAAGATAGCCCACGTAGTGTTTGAGCATTAGAACATCTGCTAACAACACAATTTATACTTTTAAAACGTGTTTAACTACAAGTTATTTTACAAACAACGTGATAATTTGCTTACCGCGAGGAATAGGACGAAATAACGAGACACAAAAAAAAACGAATTAAGTCTATCTAAGCCCCGCAGAGGAGCGGCGACTGAAGACGTCATGATTTCAACATGCGCAATGAGGGGGGAACAGGGGGAACTGAATTTATCGTAACACCAGCATCCCAGCAAATAACGGCAGGGCAGAGGTGCCTGGCACCTGAACAGGCTGCCCAGCATTTCCTGCCTCCAACTCCAGCTGTTGCAGCTTCACAGCCTTCTCAGCCTCGATCTCCAAGACACATTTTAACTGCCACTGCAGCTCCAGTTCCAGCTCATTCAAACGAAGAATCAAAGTTGGATCAGTGCCCACCACTGACAGGCAGACGGGATCTATGCGTGGAGGTACAGCCCTGACCCCGGCCTCTGCCCTGGCCCCTCAAAAAGTTTGCCCCTCTTCACCAACACGCCAAAGACAGAAGATTTAAGCTCTGCTTTTCTAACATTACGGTCCAGCCCAATATCATAAGGCTCAGTGAGTTGTAACAAATCAGCCTTATGACACTGCTCAAACTGTTCTACGGATGGTGCACTAATAAACGCACCTAATGAAAACATCACAGCCCTACACACACAAAAAAACAGCCAAGCAAACAACTACCCAGCACATAACGAAAAGAGGACGAGCCCCCAATTTATGTTACGACCTGTCTAGGGGTTTGTGATGGTCATAACCTAAAAAACAAAAACAACAAAAGAGAGCCAAAACAACAAACATAATCAGGCTAGCTGGGGATTTTAGAGAATTTACCTATCTGAAAATAAACAAACAAAAATACAGTCAGTCTTCCCTAACTCCCTGACTATATCAAAAACAGAAGACAAAGTCAATGGCACCCACTCCTACAGCTTGGCTGGCATAAGAGTGAAAGTTACAGAGGAAGATCATGAGTTTACTGCTAAACAGTAGAGATAACTGACTAGAGAACAAGAGTTAGAGCTAAGCTATTACATTTGAGATGAGGACAGAGACAGTACACTAACCATAAAACAAACATTTCTGAGCTGCGGTTCTGATCTAAAAACAATCACCCCAAGCCGCCATGGAGGAAAGCCTCAAGGACATCAGGCGCAGCCGTCAAAGAAATACTCCATGCAATCGCAGCCAGCCAATCAGATGCAGGCATCATTACGGGACTCCAGCTAATCACACGCATGAGTGGGCAGGTTCATAATAAGTGAGTGAGAGAGAGAGAGAGAGAGAGGGAGAGAGAGAGAAAGAGAAGCAAACAAAACAAAACAAACAAAACATACATCCTAGGGATGTAACAAGTGACAAACCCCAAAGATTATAAATATGTTCAAAATGACCACAACTGAATCCAGTTATTTAATCAGATTTCACACTAACAGTGCTGAATCAGCTGTAGTAAGGTGAACCCTTTACCTTCATCAAATATATTCCCAGGCAGTGAAAGCAAACATCACAGTACTCAGATTCATGATTCAACCACGTTCGGCATGGATCCAAGCAGAACAGCTCCACTCACAACAGCCATCTTGGCATCCACAGGGCAGAGCACCTTGTACTTTGACCCAAATTTCCCTTTAACAAAGCTGTTCACCTTAGGAATCAAGGCGAAGCCTCCAACCAAGAAGATATATCTGATGTTCAGGTTGCATTTTTCCAGTATTCCTTCTATCAGGCTTTCTATGCCTCTGAGACTGTCATCATGTAGAGCTCTCATCTTTGCCCCTGACAGCACTATTTGGCCACTTTCCCATTCAGCATCTCTGTTTCCCTCAAAATAATCTTCTACGTCTTTTACTTTCCCGGCTAGCTGTTGTAAGCTATAAGGACACTGCACCATCACCCCTCCGTCATAACGCTTACAGATAGAAAAATCATACATCAACCTCTTCAGCTCACTGGGAGAACTTTTCTCAAACTCATCGAACACTTCATCAGAGAATATCTCTCTGAGGAATGATATGAAGTTCTTGTCTACTCTCCGTCCACCCACGTCATTTCCTGATACCCTGTGCAGCTCCTTTAGACGACCTCCATCCACCATTTTATGGACTGTGATGTCAATGCTTTCATCTGATAAGACAGAAAGAGAATTAATAATCTTGAATAAAATATGAGCAACAGTTTAGATTTATTTCTGCTGGAAGCATAAACGTAACTGTTAAATTATATACTAATATTGGGCACTGCGTTTCTAAATTTGCTCAACCCAAATAGAATCTTAAAACGTTTTGCCGCTATTCAGAAACTCCCCCTAACAAATATGGTAATATCCAGTTTAAGTGACCCATAACTGCTTACAATTTCTCTTCTACTTTCATTCAAAAAGGAACCACAACTCACATAGTCTTCTCTACAATCAGCTGTTTCCAAAAGTATCAAATCCACATTCTGTATTAATTTGTTCATCATTTTCAGAACTTTAAACTGTATTTTAACTTGTTTACTTTTTATAGTTGATTTATCCCAACTTTGATCTAGTCCAGTCCATTCGATTATAACATTACAGTTCAATATCTACATACCTCCACAGTCCACCACCATGTACTGTGTTCCTGAGATCTCCTCTATGGTCTCTGCTTCTGTAAGATCTCCTTCCATAAAACCTTCCTTTGGGAGCTGTTTACACCAAACACCTGCAGCTTCTGATTCCAGAGCTACAATCAGGTTTTCAGGATCAGATTCTGTCACCAGACCAGCCTAAACACAAAGATATGTTTTAATATAAATCCAATCCTTCTTTTAGGATGTTTATGAATCATGGTTCTTCCTACTCTGGCTAATGTATTTCTTGTTTTTTACACTACTTTCGATAGAAATAAAGAGTTAACAGAAAGTCTTTTCTTATTCTGGGCCAAGTTGAGAAATAATCACCAGAGCCCAATAAAAATAATGTCCATTTCTCTGACATATGATCTCACTCACCTCTGTAGCTGCTTCTCTGAAGAACTGTTTAGCTGCTGAGCTCCAAATGGCTGGAACTGTCAAAACCCATGTAGCATCAGAGGCAGAGTACTTCACTCCAGATGTGTGTCGTTCAATCACATCCAAAGCGTGATCTTTCATGAACTTTAGACTCTCAGAGAAAACTTTCAGAGCTGTCATTGTTTTACCATTTTTGGCAGTTATCTTCAGATCTCTGTGTAACACCTACAGACGACATATATAAATACACAATACACATATACATGTATATAAAATAAAAAATACATTTGTAAATATATAATACATATGCTCATTAATCCCTAATGTCACTGAGTAACACTGATTTCTCAAAAGCTCTGTAACCAGGTTTGTCAATTCATGGGTGTTTTTTGAAACTCTTGTAGTATGTAAATGTAGTATGTAAACTCACTAAAAAAGTGCACTGACTAACCTGGTCAATTAATTAATCACAAAACACTTTTTTATTTGAAGGTTTGGCTGCAGTTCTGCATTGATGAGGCTTAATGTGGCAGAATGATGCAGTTTCACAAACAGAAGACAAATCAGAGGAAGTCAGAGTTTATTAGAAGGCCTCCATTTGTTATGATTGTTGCCTCCAACAAATGTGTTTTTGACTTCGGTATTGTTGGCTGAATATTTCGAAAAAAGTATTATTTTTATTTGTACTGTCTGTACTTTTTGTCCATTATATAACCCCACAATGATTAACATGTGGAGACATGGTGTATGAGATTATGAGATTAAGTCTGTATTCCTCACACTGAAGGAGTCATGAGCCAAAATATCGAATATTCAGGTCAGTGGAATTCATCTCATGTGTCTTAACCTCAAGAGGGAGTGCTATTGAACACGTTTCTCATCCATACAATTTACAGTTTAATCTGAACATTTTTTCAGTGGAGAAAAGTAATTTATGTCCGAAATCATTATAGGGATCTGATGTGGTCAATTATTTTATTTGATATCATGATATTAAAATATATGATACTTTTAATAGAAGAATATGCTATTACTATAAAATACACATGTAAAACAATATAATAAAATCTGTGAAGCAATAAAACATGTACTGTACTTGTGTTTTGATTTAGGTTTATTCTCCTCTTTTTAAAGTAGAGTCTGAGTTTAATTTACTTTTGCTCAGACTCTGTTTGTCTCGAGGCTGTCATAGTGAATTTAGTACTAATTCGTAGTTACAGGTGTGGTTTTGAGTGACCTAGAGGTGTGAATTGTAGGGACAGGACTAACATTTACAGGGCAGGATAAAAAAAAAAAAATCAATAGGGAATCCACGTCTTCTTAGTTCTGCCTGTTCTGCCAGTTCCTTTTCTCATCTAGCCCACATTGTTACAGTCTTTGACCACTGTGACTGGGAGAGTTACCATCCATTCACTCTTTGAGTGAGTAAACAATCCACATTAAAACGGCCCAAGGCAAGGAAGACTGTCTTAGTGAAGAAACAACAAAAGCAATCTGGGCCTCTTCGGATATCATGTTAGGCAAAGTAAAGCTGGCACTCCTGACAATTCCTCTCTCGACCCATATGATTTCCGGCTGTGCTCAGGTATGTAATCTGAGTGCATATGCTCACAGATCACAGCATGTTAAATATCTTTGCACCTTATTCCACTTATTCCACTATATTCTACCTCATGCTCAGAATGAGTGCTGTGTCAGTGCTGCACACTTATGTCTGTCATGTTTGCACTTTTTCTTGTCTATTTTGTTCCATGTTGCACTGTGTTGTTCCTGGGGGAACGTAATTTCACTCCACTGTGTACTTGTACATAGATGGAATAAAAGCCTCTTGACTCTTGAGGAAGGGCCCGTTTAAGGGTACAAGGCTTTTTGGTGGCTATAAGGGGCTTTCTACTTGCCGTATGATTTGTATGTGGAGGTTTCTGTAACGTACGGGGTGGCGATGAAGCACACGTGCAAAGTGGCTTTACTGGGACAATCCAGCACTTGTAGTCATAAAGAGGTGTACACACAAGGTAAAACCTTGATAACCCGAAAAACAAACAAGGGTACCAAAAATACCAAATGAACTAGAAACAAGCAGAAGGACAAGTATGACAAGACTTCCTAAAGAGCAAACCAATAATAATAATTAGTGTGGTCCATTCAGGAGGCAGCTGTCTAAGTAGGCAGCATTTATAAGGCAGATTTTCAAGGCAGCATGAGTCAGCTGTCTTCTAAAGTACTTTATTTTGACCAAATTAGAAGACAGCATTGCATTTAACCTTCTCAGTAAATAGTTTATTGATTTTATTCTATCCTCTGAGATGTGGTTGCTAGTAGGGGTGGGAATCTCTAGGCACCTCACAATTCAATTACGATTCAGAGGCTGCGATGCTATTATAAAATTATTATCGATGCATCTCGATGCATCTTTTTTTCTATACAGGATTTCTATTTTCCTACTGTCTGAGGACTTGGTACTTTTAAACCAAAGTATTTGTAATGATCCATAATGAATTTACTTCCAGTATCTTTTATTAATAAATCAAATGGAAGTGATGAGGCAAGTGAACTCGAAGGCTCTCATTCACTGCTCTTGTTTGAAGCACATGAGACACTGGCTGATACTCTAATGTGATAAAATGCGCAGTCATGATGAAATAAAATCCTGTGGCAATGGATGTCCATGCAGCACGTTACAGCTGTCCTACCCATTTTCTTTAGTGAATTTATAATTGCAGTTTTGGCCTTGTTGTAGAGAGTTGGGGGGATCTCAATGACTGAGTATGGACACAAATCCTTGATAATAAAAGTTGCGATAGAATTTGTAATTCCCTTCCGTGTTGGGTGGAAGCTCTGACATCACTTGCTCGATGGTCTTCTGCTCGGCAGCAAGTAGAACCGGACGGAAAATGAGTGGAAACATGTAATATAGTTTCTCATGTTTGTTGTTTCCAAAATATTTTAGTTTTGAGTGACAAAACCTGCATATAGTGTGGCTCTTATGCAGATCTCTTTTCCCCTGGCGTGCAGACTGAAGGTCACATAGCAACGCAAAGAGTCTCGCCTAGCTAGTTGCTAATGAAAAGGCAAAGAGACAGATTTAAGATGAACATCTGGAGACAAATAGACTTATTCGCATTTATAAGCACTGCAGTTGGTTTCCTGGTACATTAAATCTGCAATGAGAGACTGTCAAACACTAGAAAGTTGTGAAGATGAAGCCTGCTTCTCTTTAGAATTTCTACCTTAAATGTTCCTGCATTTACAGTCTGGCACCTCAGGCAAAATTTAAGGTGGAACGGGAAAATTCGAACAAGAAGCTGGAGAAAGAGAAGTGACTTCAGCCTCATAAAACAGTTGAACGTTTAGACACATTTTACAAGAAACTGTTCCACTTCTGAGGAAAAGTTTTCTGGTGGAGACAGGAGGAAAGCGGCTGTGGCTAAAGCTTAAATCAGAGCAAAGTAAATCTGCATTTTTGTTTATATTGTTTAGCCTATACTAGGACATTATCACATACTGAGATATACTGGACTTTAAATGTTGCGGCTCCCAAAGTGGTTTGATTTTTTTGGACAAAATGGCTCTTCTTAACATTTGGGTTGTGACTCCTGACCTGACCTAGCTGTTAATGTAGAGGCTGCCAGTCTGATTTGTCGCTCATCCAGTTGTGTCTTCGTTGTGTGCCGCCACAGACTGTCTGGGCGCTGCACTTACCCACTTCCAATTTCCACCTTTTGTGTTCCGTCAACATTGTTATAAATTAAATATTTAGAGGTGAGCCAATTGAGAGGTGACAGACCACTTAGAATGCTAAGCTAACCTCCACAAAAGTATTTTTGCTCATATATTTACACTTGACAGTGAAAAATATGTTTTATTCTACATGATTCTGTGTAAATGTAGACAGTTGTATTAATGGATGAGTGCAGTATACTGTTTCATATCAGCCAATAAGTTAAGCTAACTAGAAATAATGTACAACCCCAAAAATTTCCAAAAGTTGTGACGCTGTGCAAAACGTAAGTAAAACAAAATGCCTGCCTGAAGTCCAGACCTGTCACCACTGATGGCATTTGGCCTAAACACTTACAGAGTGCTGTTAAAAGAAGAGGTGACCAGAAAGGTTAGAAAGGATGGCACTTTAGTGCCTGTAATAAGATGAAAGGGGTATTGCTGCTCATTTGGACTTTTGCCCATTTATGTACATTTTGTTATATTTATGTATATTTTTGTACATCAGAGATGGAGAAACGCAATCTCGTTCAGCTGTGCACTGCTTGTTGTTTAGTCTGAATGATAATAAAGTTCACTTTGACTTTGACTTCTTTTTGTCTTGAACAAAAATGTCTACCATGACATATTATTTTAATTTGATGACACACATAAAAACCTAATGTTTATTTTTTTATAAAATAAAGTAATAAAAAATCCGTTTTCTCACTACCAAAACACAGTGCCAAAATATATACTTTTATACTCTTTAACTTTACTTAACTTTACCAAATGTTTCAGTAGTGCGTGTTTCATTAATGACAATTTTAGCTCATTTTGAGCAGAACTCAAAAACACAGCCAGTACATGACCAGCAAACACAGCTTTGAACAGCTGTAAAATCATCATATTTTTCATTAAAACACTAAAAATGTTACTTAATTGCAGAAAATATGTGTTTCGGTACTGAGAATTGGCCATCTTTACCATGTGGCCATGCAGTCTCACTTTCTGCTTGTGGCTATAAACGGTTTCAGTAGTTACAAGAAACATAGGACAACATTTTTAATATTGTTTTTAAATATGAAAATGTAATGAATTTGTTTAGTGCACCTAATAAAGCATCCAGTGAGTGTATATATGTATAATAATAAATCTTACCTTGTCTTTGAGCTCCAGTGAGAAGTTTTCAAAGTAGTAAAGTTTCTGTGCCTTGTCTCTCGGTGTCAGCCTGGTGTATGTCATTACCGCATCATAACCAAACTTTAAAAACTCTCCATATTCATCAAACAGAATGCAGGTTGGTGTGTTTGGGGTGTTCAGCCCGTACTCTTCACCCCATTTAGGCTGACGAAACTGTTTTGATTCTTCAAACTTAAACATATATTGAGTGAATGATGTGCCAATCTGGATTCCAATAGAAACCAGTGATTCTGTAAACAGAACAGAAACACACCTGATGAGAGTCGGACCAGAGAGGAAACAACTTATTTAGTTATTTTCAGTTACAGTCCAGTCAATACAAACAGGGTTCTGAATATAAAAGAAAAAAGGCTCCTTCATTCCTTTACTACACTTTCCTATAACACTGCAGCACAGGGTGAGTTATACTGCTCGAAAGTACCATAAAGTCTCAAAACTGCAATATCTTACAATATATTACAATGTAACAGTGTAAAAAGTCACATGATTTCAGTAAAACCACAATCATCCAACAACACTTCCAAAAAACATCATTCACAACCTGAACCATTTGAAGTGCTCGATATGAATATAACCAACTGTGTCGGTTGTGCTGGGAAGGGTTTCAGTCGTACTGGGAGGAGTTTCAGTTGTTTTAGGAGGGGTTTCTGTCATACTGGGAAAAGTTTTGGTTGTATTGGGAGGGGTTTTGGTTTCATTTGTACTGGGAGGAGTTTCAGTTGTTTTGGGAGGAGTTTTGGTTGTACTGGGAAAAGTTTTGGTTGTATTGAGAGGGGTTTTGGTTTCAGCTGTACTGGGAGGAGTATCAGTTGTATTGGGAGGAGTTTTGATTGTATTAGGAGGGGTTTTGGTTGTACAGGGAGGAGTTTTAGTTGTACCGGGAGGGGTTTCAGTTGTATTGGGAGGATTTTTGGTTGTACTGGGAGGGGTTTCAGTTGTACTGGGAGGAGCTTAGGTTGTACTGGGAGGAATTTCAGTTGTACTGGAATTGTTTTTGGTTGTACTGCGAGGAGTTTATGTTGTACTGGGAGGAGATTTAGTTTTGGTTGTACTGGGAGGGGTTTGAGTGATCAGATCTGTATCTGTTTAAATGTGTCTTGGCTGCGTTTACACTTGCATTTTTTTGTGGCTTAATCCAGATACAATCCTGATACTCAAGACGCATGAAGTGACCAGGTGTAAACGGGGTCTTAGTGTATGAATTTCCAGCATAGGAATGAAACACTGTTATAAATTTCACATCTGTGACATTCAGAAGAGTTATTTTTATTAAAGTGTTTGTTATTGAATGTATGTGATCTTTGTCATGTTAGATATGTTGTATGTAAACTATTAAACTAGATTTGTCTGTTTTATAGAAACCAATGCCATCTGCATTCTTTCCAAGACCTTCTCCCAATCTGTGAAGTGAATAGTGAATGAACTGTTGATAGTTTTTATCCTTTTCTCCACCCAAAAAACCTAAAATACTATCTTTAGTACCATCCGGCACAACAAGGCTGCATGAAAGAGGAGCTGTCTTGAAAAGAAAGAGTTTGTGGTCAATATGTAGATGAATTTGTTTCCAAGCACAGAATGTATTAATGTGAGTTTTTAGTTATTTTGACTAATGTAGGCTTTGATCTGAGAAAAGGTATAACCTTAAAGAGACGTGCTTCATCCCATACTACTCTATTAGAAACCAACTGGCCTCAATAATGTTTGGGTGAAGCCAAATCCATTTCTAAATAATAGGCCCAAAAATAGATAATCGCAGTCCACTTTTAGAATATGGTGCTTGTAGATTAATAGGCTAATCCTTAGGAAACGGGTAACAGCCTCATCTTGTTCTTTAAAATACATTTTGAGTATCATTGGGGTCAGGCATTAAAAAAAATAAATGCAGTGGTGACAATCTTGGAAGATTAAAGCAAAGGACTCATAGCTGTGGTTACCGGGAGCCCCTGGTACTGAGCCAGAATGTATGAGCAGAGCTAGTAATTGTTAAAACAGCTGATTGGTCAAACGTAGTCATCACAGAATTGGTGCACAGTTGCACAGAGTAAGGTGAGCGTTACTGAAAAAGAAAACACCATATAGCATTTCACACACTGTTCATGCTGTCTTCACTGTTTTGGAGTTGGTTTGTACAATTACTCAGGTATTTTCCAGCCCTGGACTGTAACATTTCTGTCTATTGTCTCTAAGAAGCATTATTTATGATCTTGGGTGGAACTGAGTTAATGTAATGAAAGGCTCCAGTGATGTAAAGCTTGGTTAAGGAGCACTATAAAAGCAGGGACTTACTTTGAATTTGGGTCCAAGGATTTAAAGCCTCCACTGTCAGACGCTGTGTACGGCATGGCATCTGGGGAAAAAAAAGAGAATAAGGAAGATTGTAAAGAATGCAACTTGCCTTTAAGACGTCCACAATGCGTTCGTACTGAAGAGCTCAGTGACTTTAATGCGGCACTGTCATAGGATTCCACCTGACAGAAGTCAGTTCAGACAAAACAGACTGGAGGCTTTGAGTGTAGTGACCCTGCAACTCTCCATAGCTCGTGCTGGCTGCACACAGGTTTTAGAGGCCTGATAACATATAGATTTGAAAGAGGAGTGGTCCAGAACCAGAGTGGTTGCTGCTTCTGATTTAAAACGCCCTTAAATTATTCTCTGTCCTCAAAGGTGTGGTTTCAAATTAGCCTGAGGTGTTGGTTGTTGGGGCAGGACTAGCAGTTACAAGGCTGATCAGTATCTGTTACAAAAATCAGTTTACTTGTGTTTTCTGACCTGAGATGGTTAGATGGACATTTAATCTTTGCCACTGATCATCAACACAGAGACTTTATTCTCTTTTGTGTCTCAAACTTTCAATATTGCACTGTTTTACTTCCAATATGTGTCTACCCCCAAATAATAATAATAATAATTATAATAATAATAATAATTTATATAGCACTTTTCATGCAGTGGCAGCTCAAAGTGCTTTACACACAGGTGATAAAATGTAGTTATACACAAAATCATCAGTATTTATTTAGAATCAGAAGAAAATGAAACAAATCAAATTAGAAGATAAAAACACGAGACGTAGAGTTGTAATTAAATGCTAATTTAAAGAGATACGTTTTAGATGCTTCTTAAAAGTGAGCACTGATGTTGACTGTCCATGTTTTCATGGCCTCTCCATGTTTTCTGTATTTTACAGGGGGGTTTGGTAGAAGGCCACTATCTGCAGATCTTAGACTTACATGCTTGAACATAAACAGACAGACACTCTGTGATGTAAGCGGAGCTTTAAGGTCATTTAGAGCTTTAAAAACTAGTAGCACTTTAAAATCTATCCTGAATAATACAGGCAGCCAGTGCAGATTTTTTGAAACAGGAGTGATCTGATCTCTCTGTGTTGTTTTTGTTAGGATTCGTGCTGCTGCATTTTTTGTAGGAGTTGTAGTGGATATAAAGTTTTCTTAGGAAGTCCAGTAAGAAGAGCATTACAGTAATCAAGTCTGCTTGTAACAAACCCATGAACAAGTTTCTCTGTGTCGCTCTGCATGAAAATAGAAAAGGCTAAACTTTAGTGATATTTCTCAAATGATAAAAAGCTACTTTAGTTACTGTATTTACATGCAAATAAAACAGAGCTCAGAGTCTAAGATCACACCCAGGTTTCGTACTTCAGGTTTGGTATATTAAGCTAAAGAACCAAGTTTCTTTACCAACAATCAGTAATTCAGTTTTTTCATGATTTAATTGTAGAACATTTTCCGACATCCACTGAGAAATATCTGACACACAGCTGGTTAGTCTGTCAGTCTTGATGATCAGAAAGAATGGAAATGTTTAATTGTGTGTCATCAGCATAGCTATAAAAATTTCTACTATGGTTCCCAATAACATCACCTAGAGGTAGAATGTACAAAGAGAAAAGCAAAGACCCTAAAACTGAACCTTGAAGGACTCCATGAATGATTTCCCAGTGATACCATGAACTGCCTATTACTTAAACATAATTTAAACCCTTCTAAAAGTGTGCCCAAGAGGCTGACCCAGCATTCAAGACACTGGATTAAAATCTTGTGGTCAACAGTGTCAAAAGCTGCACTAAGATCCAATAAGGCCAGAATAGAAGGCTTCTGTGCATCAGCGCTGAGCCTGACGTCATTCATAACATGAATCAATGCTGTCTCTGTACTATGGTTGGAACGAAAACCTGACTGAAACTTCTCATATAAATTGTTTGATATTAGATACGCATTTAGTTGTTTTAAAACAACTTTTTCTAAGACTTTACTTAGAAAAGGTAGGTTTGAAATTGGTCTAAAATTATTTAGTATGGAAGGATCCATGCCTCTCTTTTGCAGCAGAGGCTTCACCAGGGCAGTTTTAAAAGCGTCTGAAAAAACACCAGCTGAGAGAGAACAGTATATAATAGTTAAAACATCATTGTGAACACATTCAAAAACCATCTTAAGGAATGAAGTAGGAACAGGGACAAGGTCACATGTAGATGAACTTAGTTTGTTTAAAATAGAACGGATGGTTGATAACAGAGAGAGATTTCAATACCGATGTAGGTGACCTATCAGGAACATTATAGGAGCTTGTGTGAGTCTGCTGAGCTACACCCTGTCGTATCAGGTCTACTTTATTTTGAAAATGAATTGCGAAGTCTTCACAGATTTTAGAAGATAAATCACCATGAGCAGACAAGTTAGGGTTAATTAGTTGGTCTATGGTGAAAAAAAAGGATTTTGGTATTATCTTTGTGTTACTAATTACACTAGAGCGGTCTGGTTCTTTACATCTGCTCTTTGAGAATATCATAGTGTACCTGCAGTTTAGTTTTTCTCCATAAGCATCTGATTTACAATTTCTCTTAAGATGGTTTATTTCCACATTCCTCCATGGATTTTTAAGAGTGTGCAAGCTTTTCTTCCTTTTTACTTGAGCAAGAATGTCAAGGGTTTCCCATAATCTAGCACTTAGATGCGAGACTAGATCGGAGACTAGATCATTACAGGTCATGGTCGTCACAATCACAGACCAACACATTTGCTGTGGGTACTAAAAGGAAAGTCCTAGGTGTTGGGTTGGATTTTGCAGGAGTTTTTTGGACCACAACATACATGTTCATGTATTAATGCCACATGCTGACAGACTGAGGTCTCCCAGTCCCAGAAACCTGGATGACATAGTGTTCATAAGCTACTAAAATCAAGCATTAACATTCTTATTATCCCCCACCCCC